TCGTTGTCAAAATCCCCTCGAAATGGGTGTGACGCGTCTGTGGGGTGAGGGGCGGCGGGGAGTGCGCCATGTGCCCGTCGCGTCCTCTAGATGAACAATTTTTTAAGGAAATTTTATTTTGTCACGGTGATTATATACCGAAGTAACGAGGTGTGGACGCTGACCTATTTACTGTAAATAAAAGCTGAAAGAGAGAAAGCGATCCGAGCGTGTAGTGTCCACGATTTGCGCGGGAATAATCCGTGGTGATTGACCTACAGATTGCGTGGTATTTGTTTTGATTTTAATGTAAACAATTACACGTAAATAAACTATTCTACTGTCATTTTTCGGGAAGAATTATACCGTTTTTATTTAAGAAGTGTCGCTTTGTATGTTTATGTCGTTCCAATCAGAATGCTAATATAATTTCGCGCTAAGAACTTGTGCCAACTTTGTGAGAAATACAATTAGGAATCGGTTCGAGTGTGGACGTGTTTACACAGAGTTTGATAGGATTCGAGCAGATTTATCAGATTGAATAACAGATTGTGTTTACATGCGTACGTGAGAACACATTATAAAGTGAAACTTAAGTATTTTAAACATATACATAACTTTTATTAAAAAAAAATAATTAAACAAATACGGTAGACACTTTGTAAGAAACTGATGATCTTTTGGGAAATTAACTTCTCTGATTATTATGGTTAAGATAGCACTAAACCATGTAGTGATATCTTAACTTAATATGAATTTAGTTTTAAAAGCCATGTATGAGACATGTTAACCCGTTCGATATGTTCCAAATGGCGTCAGATACTGGTCGCAATACTTTGAGTGGCATTTATACAGATGGCTTATTGCCAGTTTCATTTTGAAGTAAAATCTAAATATTTGGCCTTTGACCTTTGCTGTCCCCTTTAAATCCTCCAGCACCCCCGTCCCTCTTCCCCCACTTCTTATTGTGCCTCGGAGAATGCATTGTTGAATGGTCGAGGGACGACCGTCTTTTGATTCGAAACTGAACATCCCAACAACATTCTACAGAATGTTTAATAAGAACATGTAATAATTAAAATTTCTCATTGTTTAATGAAAGAATATTTATAGCTTCTCTTTAATAACATAAATCGCCTTAAGAAACGAATGTTTTTGTAAAGTCTCTAGCTTCCCTCTAAATATGTACATATATGGGTGGGAATACACATGCCAGTAAAAAGCGACCTACTTGCAAGCCACGAGAACGTACGGGATGAGACTGTCAAGCTTCATACTCGTCCATACTCATAACTTGCATTCCTGAAGCTAGTTACTAGCATTCTATCTATTGGCATCCCCAAACACGATTACTGACCTGTAGCTAGGACGTACAAGTAGCTTGAATACATGTGTCAACTTCCCCTAAAAAATATGTTAGATGTCATTTCAAACCTAGTAATTTTAGTAAGTGTCTATTATGAAGCTGTAGCAATTACACTGTGCCATCACTTCGAAAGAATACCACTTGATATTTATTCCATTTTGATCTAAACTAAAGCAAAGATCTCAAAAATGACGTATGTTAATTTGAAGATTAATGGCATCGTGTAATTGCTAATGTTTCATAATAGACACTACCTAAAATGACTAGGTTTTACAGGACATCTAATGCATTTTTTTAGGGAAAGCGAGACTCGGCTTTTCCTTATATTTGATACTTTTCTGTAGGACAATCTAGACAAATGAATTATCCCTACGTCTCTTACATTAGTACATATGAGCGTATGTAACATTTTTTTATGTACAACTTTCGATGATCGAGTATGGAATTGCCTGTAATAATGCGATCCATCTTCGTCTTCGGAGCGTAGGGAACTCACGATCACTTTATCGTAAATAGGCAAACAACGTTGAAATATCGTTATGAATACTGTAATTTTTTTATAATATA